TCACATTGTCTACAAGCAGAATAGTACCCTGAATTTCGGGGGTGGTGGTGATTCTGTTGCATGGAGTATTGTTTTCCATCCTTAGACTTTCAGTCTATGAAATTCCTTCGGAATTAAATGTGTTTCTTGTATACAGCATATTGTTGGATCTTGTTTCTTGATCCACTCTGGAAATCTGTTTCTTTTGATTGGTGAATGGAGGCCATTTACATTAATGGCTATAACTGATATATATTGGCTTATCTTTGTCATGTTATTTTCCTACTGTAGGTTCTCTACTTTTCCCCTCTGTTTAATTGCTTGCCTGGTTTGGTGGTTCCTTTCTATTGTTATTCTTAGAATTGTTGTCATTTTTATATCTTTCTAGAATGTCTTACAGTATACTTTGTAGTGTTGGTTTGGTCATCATGAATGTCTTAAGTTCTTTGTCATAGAAGTATCTTATTTCTCCATTAATTTTTAAAGACAGTTCTGTGGAGTACATCAATCTGGGTTGGAAGTTGATTTTCTTTCAGAACCTGAAATACTTCACTCCAAGCTCTTCTTGAATTGATGGGTTGTGTTGAGATGTCTCAATGATTCTGATAACTTTTTCTTTATAGGTGATCTGTTTCTTTTCTCTCACAGCTTTTAATGGTCTGTTCTTATGCTGAATTTCTGGAATCCTAATTATTATACTTCTGGCTGCAGATGTTTTTTGATTATGATTATGTGCCTCACTTATCTGTATGTCAGATTCTTTTCCCATGCTTAGGAAATATTCTGTTACTTCTGCGAATAGTGTTGACTCGTAAAGGTCATTTGTGTTGACTTCTGCTTTTTCATTGACAGTTGATTCCTGCTTATTGTTTTTCTTGACATCATCTTGCAGCTGTTGCATTTATTATTTCCTGGTTCCTTTTTATTTTTAAAAGATCTTTCTTTTTGTGGATCACTGGCTTTAATGCTGTCTCAAGGTCTGAAAGTCTCTCTTTTATTTCATTCAAGCAGTTTTGCCAGCTTTCAATGGAAGTTTTAATTTCCTGGATATCTCTTTGAATTTGTTCCACTCAAATTCTTTCCTATATTGTTCATTCATCCATCATTTTTTCTATGCTTCTTGATTTTTTTT